AGAAAAAAATAATTTTAATGATTAGCAAAAAAAGGAAAGTATTTGATAATTAAAAAAAAAAAAAAAAAAAAAAAAAGAGCCAACCAATCAAACTAATACCTGGTATAATTCTGCTATCTTACCTTAGGTCTTACACCCTGTAACCCATTTGTTAGACATCTACTATTATATAAATCAAGCGGGACTAATCTACTTTAAAAGTATTATGTTTCCTGTATGCAACGACATGACTCTTACCTTCTCTTGGTACTGCCTGCGTGAGGAATCCAGTGACTGGATTAGAGCTGTGGCATGGCCCACAAACATAGCGTAGCACGTGGCGCCCACGATCATGCTCAGCATGGTGATCCACAGGTCAGACATGCTGACGGGCGCCCGGGCGCCATACCCGATGCACAGCATGTGGCTCATGGCTTTGAAGAGGGCATAGGAGTACTGCTTACCCCAGGACACATTCTGCAAGGACAGAGAGAGAGGAGAGGGGGGAGACAGAGAAGGGTTGGGGGGAGTTACTGCGGGGTAAGAAAAGATGGCTTTGCTTTGATGGCTTTTAGCCAGCATTCATGTCAAGCCTAAGACCTTAAGGCCCTCATTCTACCCGTTTCTGTTCCCTCTCTGCTCTCACCGTGCCAGGACTTACCTGACCTCACATTTTCTTCTCAAAAGTGGAAATAAAATCAAAGGTATGCCTGTAATCCCCCCTGGCATGTGTTCTGTTGACCTGATTAGTTTATCTCCTGCACTTGTCCTTAACTACACAATAGCATGCAGAGCTGGGTTTCTCTTGAGGGAGATGTTAGTTTTATTATCCCTTTGCAACTCCCATTTATGTATAAAGCAAGTATCCCTAGCTGTCATCTCACCATTACTCAGCTCAGAGGACAGCCTGCTTTGAGTTGTATTGCATTTGATAGAAATGGAAAATACTGAAAGTTCAAATTGATTTAGAGCCTGGAGTTGGCTAATTGTCAGGTGGATTAGCTATGAATGAGTTCTGACTGGTTGTTTTTTGTTTTTCTTTTTCCATAAACACACTATTGTGGAAATTCTGCAATGTCACACTGACACGCGTGTCAGCATTTATTTCAGTGTAAATGCTGCTGCTGGGAGAAGAAAAATCAAGGTTTGGTATTTTCACAAAAGTATTTAAAAAGAAGTCAGCACAATGATTAAAGAAGCTAATCTGAGAGTCAGTGCAATGATCTGTACATTGTTTTGATAACGGTAGCCATATTACCCTGGCACAATGCTACAAAAAAAAACAACAAAAAAAAAACTCCATAGTAACTTTGTCCTCGCTTTATAATAATAGCACACAATTATTTTTAGCAACTGCTACTTCACAGACAATGCTGCAATCATAAATTAAAGTCAAATGCTTGTGGAAGAAATACTTGGAAAAATATCGTGAATTGTGTGTTGTTTTTAAATCTTCTAATAGTTCTTTAAAAGTTAAAATTAATGATGACAAAACACATATTGTGCAGAATAAAGTAATTAAATGTTGAAAATCCACCACAAAAAATTAATGTGTTCAGTGTATCTTTAAAAACTAATCTTACTTTTCAGAGTTGAACGGTTTCGGGTACATCAATAGTTTATCCAGTTTACTGCTTGATAAAACTTTAATCATATATACCATATGAACTAAAGTTTTATCCAGCAGTTTCAACTATAGGGTACTGTAACCCTCCCCATTCCTCAGCTGATGCTGCACACTGCCTTTAAGCTGGAGAGAAGGCTTCTTTGCCTAGAGCTTCCGAGAAAAAAAAAACATTTCAGGCCTTAGGAGATATTTGTGGCCATTAAGCAAACAACCAACGAAACCCACAAGCAGAGCCACACTTATTAAGTAATGGTGTTCAAGCTGTTACTAAAGTCAGCAAGATGAAAAGCACCTCACAGAAGGCTGGCAGGTGGAGTAACTAACCAGCTTTTATCAGCTTGTTTTTCCACTGCGAGCTAAACTTGAAACTTGCAGTGCTAGTCAACACATACTCTGAATAAAAGCATTTGTTTTTCTTACATATTCTATAACAATAGATATTTGTTAGAGAAAAAAGAACTATGCAGTGTAAAGACACTCAATAATTTGGCTGGCATTTAGAAAACTGTGCAATGGAAATAATATTACAATGAAGATATCAGGTGGGACATATGCCCGTTTTCTTCTTTCTCGGCCTTTCGTCTCGATGGCTAAATATCTAATTAACATGAAAAACACAACTTCAGAACTGGTAAGGTATATTAGCCATCAATTACCGCACTCCAAAAACTCTTTTGCAATTACAATATTGTGCAGGCTGATATTGCAACGGCAATGGCAGATTTTCGATCTGAATGTCTGTTGTTACATTAGCAGAAGTAAGAATGTATCTTGTTTTTGATTGTTTTTTGTTTTTTTTAAGTAAACCTTGAATACACAGAGATGTTTCTCTTTTTCTGGGACAGGGTAAAACCTGAAGGGCTGGTCTGCTTTTGACAAAGTTAGCGCAATAATTTGTGAAATGTGTGACTGTCTGAGACATTTCCAGCAACTTCCTCCAGAAACTGTCCAGGCTTAAAAGGAAGAGGAGGCTTTTCAGGCTTTTAACCTCCTTGTCAAATACTTGTTTCATTTATACGTTCTCACATCCTCAGTTTTCAACAAAAAATAACTCTGGGGTGAGAAAGTCTAGCAGGGTGCATCAGTTTGAATATTATTTCAAAGATTACTGCTTTACACCATCTCTCTCTGTCTCTCTCTCTCCCTGATGTCAGGCGCTGTCTCCTCATGCTTGATGTTGCTGTTTATAACAGCTTTGGCGTCATATCCCTGGCCTTTAGGCAGTCTCCTTTATATCTTGCCCTTTTTACAGATTAAAAAAGCACATTGGAAGTGACTTACTATTAAAACGGTGATGTGAAACCATTAAAATGTGTTAATGCATCAACACTATTTCACTGCTGGGCTTGAAAAGCTTTCTAGCTTTGTTCCAGAACTCTCTAATGTCTTTTGTTCCCCACTTTTGTTGGTCTGAGCCACGACAGTCATGTTTGGAAGTGAGAGCTGCAGGATTTAGCCTCCTCATCAACACCACACTTATCAAATGTGAAAGTGTGCTTTCCTCCCCCCCCTCCCCCCGGAGGACAGGCAGGATCTCTGGTGAGCAGGAGAATAAGCCCTTTGAGGTTGTGGTACTCGGTAAGTCTTTGCAGGGAAAGAAATGTGACAGGTCTTACAAACGGCAGCCGGAACGCTTACTGCTGTAATATATTTGCGTCTTGCAGACAGAAATTACATTAAAATTTGCTCCAAACGATACACTTATCTCAACCACACCTATGTGAGAGGCAAAAGAGTTCAAGGCTCACTGGGTACCTCAATTTTAAGTGTTTTTTTTTTTTTTTTTTTTTTCCTCAGGTAACCTCCGTTTGGGAATAACTGTTCTTTTCACAAACTAAAAAAAATTGGCTTCCTCTCATGTTCTCAAATATTCACATTGCTCGAGTCACTCAGATTCTGTAGTGGCACAAATGGCATTTAGACAGCTGTACATTAACACAGTCTGGTCTATCAGCACATGTCTCTGTAACTCAAGAGTTAATATTTACATATGGCTTCCAGATGAATGTGTGTCTGACAAAATCATTTACTGCAGGATGTGTATGAGATCTCCCTTTTGCTACATTTAAACAACCAAAGAACAAGACAATACAACAAAAAGACACATACATGCTTTTTAATGCAGCTGTAAGTTTTAAAGCAATCTGAAGAATTTAGGAATTTATTGTGGATGTGTAGAAGAGAGACACTTCCTGTGTCTCTCTTCATCTACTGACATCAGACACTCTGTATTTATCTTCCGGCACGTCTGTAGAGCGCTACGGACGTCATACCCAAAACAAATCCCTTTCCATTCCATAATTTAAGTATCAGCTGCTACAAAGTTTCTGTAATTTAACAGCGCCATGTGTTTACCAGCGTCCAACAGCCTGCCAGGATTTCGTTTCATTAGTCACAATCTAGTCTCCTCCAGTGGCCTTACACAAGATGTAGCTGGTTATGTGACTGGCAGGCAGTTGCTGATTCACCATCACCCCAGTGTTGAGTGTCGCCCAGAGGCGTTGGTTGTTGTTGATACTGATGAATAACTATGAGGCTAACAGGATGCAGTACACTGCTTCAAAGAACACAGTCTGTTCTCTTATAACATTGTTTTTGAAGGGCAAAAAACCTCCGTGTTTACCTGAAAAATGCCCCTGAGTAGAGTTCATTACAACAATTGTCTTTGAAGGCAACCTATTTAATTTGGTCTTAGGAAAAATTACAGCTACTCTGTGAATCCAGTATTGGTTTCCTGAAGAACATTAGTGAGCAAACTAATGAGGACAGACCGGTAATAACTGCTAAAGGGCAAAACCAACACAAAGTGCATGCCAAAGTACGATGAAAGCAGAGTTGGATTGTGAAATAATATCCGACGCTTTGAAATCTCACACAGCACTGTTTGGTCCATTATCTGAAAATGTAACACGGGAGGCAGAACTGCCAAAAACGTGACAAGCAGAACAGTTATTGGAGAATCATCCAAAATGGGCCATTGCAGCACTGGAGGAGCTGCACAGATCCACAGCTCGGGTGGTTTATAGAAATCTGCTATAAACCGTTTAAAGGAAAAGAGTGAGAAAAGAAATTGAGTGTGTAGAGGAAAGGTAGCAGTGCACATCTTCGTGAACATGGCATGAGGAATGTGTTAGCAGCATCATGATATTGTTTTGCCTTCTGGTAGGACAGTACAAGGCAATGTGACAAGACTTTTAAACGTTTGTCTATTTTATAAAGAAGAATGGGCAGAAACTTCAGTCTCTAATCAGATGGTAACATCCCCTAAACGTACTGCAGCTGTTGAGTATTAACCCAAGCTGCACATCAAAAAAAAAAGTTTTTCATTTAAGAAAACTGCTACAAACCATGCATCATTTTACTCCAACTTTAGAGCCATTTATACAAATAAAAATAGAAAAGTCAATGGTCAGTGAAACCAGAATTAAATTTGAGGGAAAAGTAACAGAAGGAAAGAAAAATGTCAGATTAACTCATAAAACTCCGGACTGAGTTTGGCTGCTGGAAGTGAGTCATTCAGGAGGTTGGAGGGAAAATCAAGTGGGTGATCTTGCAATAAAAAAGCCAAGAGGGGTGACTGACGGATGGTTATGCATGGCTATCCGGGCCTTCGTGGATTTCAGTCTGTGCATGTGTGTGTGCATGTCTACCTACTGTTTCTGCCCGTCTCGATGCTTAAACACGAATATTCAGCCGTCTAGAATTTAGTTGACTGTATCTCAATATAAGCGCATGTGCGTAACACACATGCTCCTAGACACATGTCCATATGCAAACAAATAGAACGGCCCATCACCCCCCGACAGAGTCGGCACAGTGACAGCGGCATTATCTTGTCTGGTGATTAAGT